TTTCGCGTACAACAATGATTAACGATATTCAATCTAGGAAATTACAACTGTTAACACAATTTCATCTGACCCATGCATCATCAGCATTACATCACTGTCTGTTTTGACTTCCTCCAACCACACATTAGGTCTTCTTGTCGCATGCGAGGTTGTTGTTCGTTTTCGCTGGATCCTTCGAATTTTTTCCCCCTCGGCGATGTCTCCATCTAGCCACAGCATCAACTCCCGCTTCAGACGCTCCATGGAGTGAATGTGCCAGAATTTCATTTTCATCGCAGGTTTCGTGGCGGAGAATATAACGTAACCATCTCTGCTAAAAATCATAGGCGACGTCATTACGTAAATAAGGGAGTACAAAATAAAAATACAGTGCGAGAAAGTTGAGAAATTTCAAAGAAACGGACGAATTATTTATAAAACAGCAAAAAACCCTAGTTTTGCCCTAGGCGCCAAGTGAGATGGCGCCTCCTCTCATTTTTAAGGAGCATGCGCCATCTCACTTGGCTAAAAGACAAGGGAGGCGCCAAGTGAGATGGCGCCTAGGGCAAAACCCTAGGTGCATGCGCCAATTGAGATGGCTCCTCCTTTGTGGAGCCATCTGAAACATGGTTATTTGCGTAATTTTTTCCGAAACCCGGTTATTTGTGAAATATTTTTTTAATACATGATTATTAATAAAAAAAATTCTATAATTGATAGAAGTCACATAATTAATACAATTTTAGAGTTAGTTAACAATCTAGACTTTTATTCATTAGACAAATATATATTTTATATCAATGATTAATATTTGTATCATTTATAAATAAATGAGACATATTAGTTCTACTTTAAATAATACTCTTTCATAACATACTAAAATCTATTTTATCTTAAATTTTTAATGATAGTTTACTTTTTAAAATATAATATTTTCAAATCTTGATTTTAATAGTTATATTGATGAAAATGAAAAGAAAAATTATAATAAGTTTGTCTTTTAATTGTTATCAATAACTTAAATAATACATTTTATTTTATATTAACTTTTAATATTGATATCTTGAAATTACATATTCAGCGTCAATAATAAAAAGTTTCATATTTTACAAACTAAACAAAAATAAACTCTCATAGTTTTGAATATTCTTTTATTATAATATAAAAATTAATTTTAATCATAACCATATTATCATAATTAAAAATATTTTAATAATAAAATTAATTATTTTATAAAATAATTTAGTATTTATTTTAGTCAGACCCGTGTAATCTATAATAGTTTACCGTTTTATTTTAATTAATAAAAGCAAACATTTACCTATAATAATCATCTTTTTTCATTTAGATTTTTAAATAAACATGTTTTCCACTAAATTACACAAATAATCAGGTTTTGAAATTAATTTTAATGTTGGCGCCATCCCTTATGGCGCCTATGTAGCTTCTTTTTTTTTGTGTACACGCCATGGTCTATGGCGCGCTTTTGTGCAGATGAAAAGCAAGGTGCCACCCCGTGTGATGTATACGTGCAATGTGTGTGAAAAAGAGCCATACAAAATGACTCCTATGTGTTATGGCCTTTTCTATAAATAAAACTTCCATCCTCTACCATTTTCACACCTCTTCTTACTTTCTCTCTAATTTCTTCTTCATGGCATATGACATGATTTTCAAAAGGGATGGATATGTTTGTTTCTCTATTGTCAAACCCCCGATTAAAATGAAAATTTAGAAAATTCATTCCATAAACCATCTTAAGAGGTCCTTGATCCGCTGGTTAGAAGGGGAGTCCGAAGATGGTGAAATCATCCGAAGAATTCAGAGACTTAGAATGACCACCTCAATTGCGACCGAAAAACTAGAAAGTTTGTGAGATGAAGTCAAAAGTGACAATGATGTATGTTCTATGATGCATTGATCAAATGATATTATTTTGACGGTTGTGATATATTAGACATTTTGCCGTGTTAAGTAATTTTATTTGTTGTTTGTGTTATTGTTTTAGTCTTGTTTGCGTTTGTGTAGTTGTAACAAATATGTTTAAGGAATAAATAAAGTTCAGTTGAATTCTAAAAATATATTACAAAGGTGCATACAATTATTAGGTTGTAGAGCTAGTTCCACCATTGGGACAATTATTTTGATTGTGGCCGACCTGACGACATATACTACACTTCCTTTCCATTTTATCAGCCATATCCATTTCGGTTCTAATACACGCGTTGTTGGGGCAACCCTTCTTCTTTCTTCACAATATATCATTGTGCCAAACTACTTCCCCTGCATACGCAATCAATAATCCTCTTTTATTATCACTTTAAAAGTATTGTTATATACGCCGAGCAATATTTCAGCCTTGTAAATGGGAGATAACAATGTTAAGGCATCTCAGTGAGCATATGAACATGCCGATATGACATGGGAGCAAGACATCCTAGAGGAAATGTCTTGATGTATCGTCAACTTTTGGATCACCTTCGACCAGAGGATGTATTACCACTAAATTATTCATCTTCTAAGTAATTTTTTTAATATTAACCATCTTCTAAGTAACCTAATAATATTTCTTTCCTCTACAGTTTATTTAGAGACCATATATGGGTCTACAACATGAACCAAACCCCGAATACGAAGCAATTTAAACTATAAAAACGAATATCTCGTGGTACAATATTATAGAGATGCACCACAGTGACCGTGTCAAACTACAGTTCAACATGCATCAAGAAATCCCAAGCCCCTACGTGTTTGAGCTAGTGGCATCTTCGTAGAGTCAACCATCAATGAGATGTTAGAATTTGGAAAGACTTCGCTCCAGAATGGCGTAAGATGTGGAAGAGGCGTCATCAACATGCCCTACAATACCTTGTCGCGTTATGCAAAATGAAACCAACTCATAATATATGATTTGGTATAAATCGATTACCACGACTGAGTCGTTTGTGTTTGAGCCGTACTATTTGATCGACCCACGCCAACACACTTAAAAAACAACCATACCGATCCGCTAGCACTCAACCCCATTACCAAGACCAATTTCAATAACAATACCAAGATTAATACCAACCACACACTCCAACACATTACCAAGAACAAAGACGGTACAACCAACACCCTGATGCGGGCCCATCTAGATCTCAACATAGCCTTAACTTGGGGGAAACTAACGAATATAACCCAAACGACCCACTCATCCCGCAAACATCACATAATCGTAGCTCCTAACAACCATATGACTTCAACACACCACGAGAAACATTGCCTTTTCCCAATCCGATTCAATTGATCAGTACTGCCGATCAACCTTCAATCACCCACCACGCCCACCATGACAAAGCTTTGACGACATGAGCAACCGACTTTTTGACAACGAGTATTCGAAACAATTTGGTGACCTGACTAATTACATAGACCCTGAGCACATTGAGGTATTACAAGTGCCATCGATCCAAACACAACATGAATCTCAAAGGGTTGCGGATCAACGAGTTAAGGGAGAGCCATCGACCCAGACACAACAGAAAACTCAGAGGGTTATGGGTCAACGAGTTAGGAGAGCGCCGCAGTGCAGAACTGATGACCGTTACGGTGATTCGAAATATTAAAATATATGTATGTCTTATTCTCTAAATGTATTATTTTTTATATTTAAATAGTAGTATCATTTTTTTTGTAAATTTTTAATAGTATTAAAAAAATAAAAAAATAGCATGTACATGTACGCGTCATATAAAATAACGTGTACTAAAACTATTACACATATGCGCCATCTCATATGATGTGTACACCTAAATTTTACACATAAACGTAATGTGGAGTAGGGGTGTTCAAATCCAAATCAATCTAAATAAAAAATCGAAAACTGATCCAAAAAAAGGAAAACCGCAAAAAACCAAAGTTTATTGGATGTGTTTGGATGTCATTTTATGAAAATCGATCGGTTCATATCAGATTTCGGATGAATTTTTCAAAACCGATCCAAATCAAATTGAACCGCATACACATATTTTTATACTTATTTACTTTTTATTAATATGATATGTTATGTGAATTTATTATTAGATGATAATAATTTTTTAATAATATTTATTAGCTTAGTATAATCTATTTATTTTTATTATTTCAACCATAATCGATCATTCTCATTTTGTAATATTTAACTTTTAATATATTATATGTTATATATTATATCAAATCTATAATTTATTAGTCGTTTTATAATATTAATAAAAATATAATGTGTAATTTGGATATTTAAAAACCGATCCAAATTAAATCGCATAAAATTGAATCAGATCAGATTTTATTTTTTTAATATATCATCCAAAACCGAACCAAACTACAAATAAATTTATCTTTAGATGAGATAAGTTTTTATTTTAAAACTAATTCAAATCGAACCGTGAACACCCCTAATATGGAATGACGCCAACAGTTATTTACAAAGCTAGATCTGATTATTTAGATAATTTTTTGAAATATTGATTATTTGCTTACATAAATATAATTTTTTTGAAGAGATTTGCTTAAATAAATTGAAAAATATGGTGGTTGGCGAAAATTTTTCAAAACGCTTTTCTGATGATAATCAAGACACAAAATAAGTGCACGCCTTTTTGGAGAGTCTCTCATTCTCACACTCCATTTTCATTCCATTTGAATTCAACGTGTTTACAAAATATCTTCCGAAAGTTTCATCGATCGGACCAACTGGACCATCAACGCAGCCGAATGCTGCCGCAGCTCCGGCCACCTTCTCAATTCCCTTCTTCCAACCAGGTTTCTTCGCCGTCGCATTTTTCTTTCCATCTGCACTTTACTTCGATCTTACTTTTCCTTGCATAATTTGAAGAGAAAAAAAACCTAATCCGTATTAGTTATATAGGAATGAAGATGATGATTTAACTGCGCAATGCCTTAAATTAGGTTTGAATTGCGTTTTTGTTCTGTTAGACCTAGTATATTTTGTACCAAACGACGACGTAGGGCCGAAATTGGCGAATAAATCAGCATAGAAAATGAGCGGCGCAAGACTTTGCACATTGCTCGGAGAACTGGGTTACGAAGGAACAAATTCAGGATCAGATTCATTGGATCCAGATAGCTTCGAATGGCCTTTCCAATACGAAGACACTCGCCCCATTCTTCACTGGATCTGCTCCACTCTTCGTCCTTCTAATATCCTCTCCCATTCCGAACTCTCTCAGTTTGTTACTCAGTCCTTCTTCTTCTTATTCATTCTTAGTCTCTCTCTAACTCCATTGTAACCGTTGTTAGGGTTTTTTTTTTTTTTTTTTTTTTTTCAGGTATGAGCAATTCAAGCACCAAGGTAAATTATTGGAAGGCGGTGATTTGGATTTCGCTTTTGATAGCATTTCAGCTTTCTCCGATACTACTGATAATCAGGAAGCTCTTTTTGGTCCTCATGAACCACTTAGTTTGAAGGATATCAAGTTAGTCTGTTACTCCTTCCATTTCAATTTGATTATTCAATTTGATTATTGGTCAATTTTTTCCTTTTTAAAAAGTAAAATTAGGTCAAGTTTTAAGAACTCAAAATAGGAAATGTTTTCACAAAGTAAACAGGCCGAATGTTACATTGAAAAAATAGAATGATTGCATAACATGAATTTTTTTTTTTTTTTTGGTTAAGTTTCATCTTAGTTAGGGAATAGAATTTGATGAAATGTGTTGTGTTCAGGGAAGAAACTTTGGCGTATAAAGCTGAAGCTGCTGATTTGCAAAGACAGCTGAGGCAACTTCAATCTCAATTTGACATGCTTTCTGGCCAGGCGTCAACTTTGACCCAAGGGAGACGAGCGCGTGTTGGCGCGACTTCTGTTGTTAGCGGCCACCTCGCAGCAATTGAGGAGAGCCTTTCCGGGAGAAATTTACAGGTGCTTGACCAATCTCTTAATAATCACATGTTGAGAATGAACGAGTGTATTTTATCATGTTTTTCTTGTCGTGGTAATGAATTATTGCTTTTACTTGGTAAATAACTTGGATGTTGAATTTGTTATTTTCATTCATAATGATGTATGGTTTGAGTTTTTCAATATAGAAATCTACATTTTGTAGTAAAGCAATCAATCCAATAATATTTGTATTTCACGGTGGATCATTTTCAGACTGGAGTAACAAAATGATATGGATATCGTTATTGCTAGAGATAAAAAAACCAATTTTTGAGTTTGAGCCCGCACTTAATACCATTAGTTAATACCATCTTTCTATTTAATTTCCAAAATTCTTACTCAGATGTCTTGTGGCAGTTTGTTTTTATTAAATTCCTTTTGTTGATTAGATGAATGCAGTTCTTGGAAGGATTGCTTCCACATCAGAGGAGTTGGCTCATTACCATTCAGGAGATGGTAATATTCCCTTTTCTTACTTTTCTCTGTAGTTTCTTTCTTATTTTTACTATTTTTAGAACGTTCGTTTTATTGTATATATGTGATCTTTCCAGTGACAACATGAAATTTATTGCCTACATCTTATTGGAAGCTTTTATTGTACAACTATGTTAGGCATCGAAAGATCAAATGATAATTTGCTTGGTTCATATTTGGCTTTGGTTGTTTAAGTTGTGTGTGTTTTGGTTGTCAATAAAAACATTTTGCCACAGGTTCCTCTATAATTCCAAACCACTCGTTGCTTGCTGAAGTGAAATATGAGCAGTATTGATCTCTTGTTCTTGTTGAATTAGATGATAAAACTTATGCAGTGTGACACCTGAGAGAAAAGATTTCTGGCAATGAATCTTGATGTGTGCTTGAAACATATGTGATTGTTAATTTCTTACATTTTAACTAGCAGTTACTGCTTCTTGCTCAACTAGTTGTTTCGTTGCTCTATTTCATTCTTCTTTTTATTTATATTTAATTTTCTAAATTTGTTTTGCCATTGATTATTGACTGATTTCATCTTTCTTCTGATGAATTTTGCTACTTTGAAATGCAGAAGATGGTATATATTTGGCATACTCAGACTTCACCCAGTTTTTGTTTGAAGACTCATCTTGTCTCAAAGAACTTAATCAATGGTTTTCTAAGCAACTCGATACAGTACGTGGATAAAACTCATTCTTTTCACTGTTTTTCTTAGGATTACTTGTTTTCAGGATTACTGTCAAATTAAAATAATAACAGAAGAAAAAGTAAAATAGAGGGAGAAAAAATTAGAGGACCAAAGTAGAAAAAAAAAAGAGAGGAAGAAGTGCACGAATAGAAAAAAAAAAAAAAGAGAAGAAAAAGAAAGAAACAGAGAAGTAAAAAAATCAACCTAAAAAGATAGAAATGATGGAGAAGAGGGAGGAGAAGGCGGCTGAGAGGGAAGAACAAAGTGCAGAGAGATGATGGAGGAAAGCATGGTTTTTCTTTGGAACGGTTGAAGTGCAAAATTGACTGTGAAGTCTCAACTCAAATTTGATTGTAAAATCCAAAATTACCATTAAAACCTTTTAAAATTAAGGTGTAATTTTGGTTTTTCAGAAACCCCATGGCCTGCTATTTCCCTATAGCGGCTGCTATAGTGTTATGCACCCTTAAGGCTCTTCCCATAGCGGCTGGCCTCTGCTCTGCTCCGTTATCCCGCTATAGCGTCACTGTTTGCCGCTATTGACTACAACCTAGAATGAAAGAAAATGAGTATAGAAGAATGGGAAACACGGAATAGAAGACATATGTGTTGTTTTTTAACCTTAATGGACTTAATAAAGGTTAGTATAAGCACAAAAAAAAGGTTAGTTATGGTAAAGTCTATAAGCCCTGATGCATATATTTGATTATGACATAGAATATACTCTTTCCGTTCCACAATGAGTCTCATACTTGTTGCTGATTTCACATAAATTAAGAAATAGAATATTAATTCTATCAAATTATTCTAAATAAGCATTGGTGTAATCACCACTATCGCAAATACTAAGTGGAATATCATGACTTGAGAGTGATGCACATAGTATCAGTTAGAGGGCACAATTGAAAAAAAGTAATTAATATCACATTGAAAATGACATTTGTTGAGACATTTTTTGTGCGCGCTTAAAACGTGACACTCATTGTGAGACAGAGGGAGTACATAGGTTCAGTCGATACACTCTACTTTAAAAATACCTGTAAGCTTTCCTCAGTCTCGCTGAAAAAAAGAATATTAGGTTTCTTGTTTCAAATTGATACACTCTACTTTAAAAATACCTGTAAGCTTTCCTCAGTACTCTATAATGCTCTTTTAATCTCCAGGTCTATTCATACCATATACATGGTCTATGTGTAATATGTCAAAATATTAAGAGCATTATTGTGATTGTGTGATGAACTTTTCGGATTAGTCCTTTGCTTTTATTTAGCTAAATGATAAATTAAATCTTGAAAAACATGTTTTACGCCTGTCCTTGTTTTAGTAATTGATTATTCCATGCAACCGGCCCTACTTTGAGGGATAAGGTTAATGTTCTTGTCGTAACTATCTGCATGTCACCCATAACCCATTCTGTTTAGTAGATTTTTTAGAGTGGTATGTTAATCTTTTTTATCAATTTTCTATCTGTTTAGGTCTTGATGTTCTTTCATTATTTTGTTTCTTAATTTCAATAATAGGGTCCATTTCGACTTGTTGCCGAAGAGGGGAAATCTAAATGTTCATGGGTAAATCTTGACGACGTCTCAAGTAATTATGTTAGAGGTATACATATCACTCCTTACAATTCCCTATCACTTTTCATCATCCTCAATATACTAGTATTATCTTTATCTATCATGACTTGCAAATCTAATTTGGATCTTTCAGCGTCGTTACTGGCAGTGAACATGAACATGAAAGTTTTAATTCATTCTTATCAATATAAATATTTGTCCTTGTATAGCATTTGTACTGAGGCAAATAGTAGGTAACATGGGGATGCGTTTGTGTTTTAGTTTCTTCTTTGTTGCTCTAATGAAATGGTATGGGCAAAGATTTCTTAAAATCCAGGCATTCTGTATCTTACACATCATAAAGTTGCATTTGAATTTAAGTTGCTCCTATAGTGTCAGGAGTCTGGACAAAACTGAGGCTCATAACAAATACATCTTTAACTCTGTTTAAATAAAAGTTATACAACCATGTTGCGGCTTATGCAAATAAATTCTTATACACAAACACACATCCATATAAACTAGCATAATGTTAACTTGACTTTTTTTTTTTTGTGCGTGGTTAAACAGATTTAGAAAAATCTCATCATCAACGTGTATCTGAGTTGCAACGGCTTCGTTCAATGTATGTGCTTCTTTCTGATATCATTGCTGATAGTCTGCTTCAGTAATTTGTGGATTGATCTATAAGAACAAATCTTCTGTTAGCCTGCTTCAGTTCAGTAATTTGTGGATTGATCGATAAGAACAAACCTTCTATCCGTTCTCGGTCCTCCAAATATTAGAGTGTCACCCTTCCGTCTAAAGATATTTTTCACCAAATTGGTCCTTAAAAAATTCAACCGTTACCATAGTAGTCCTCTAATTTTTCTCATCAAGTTAGTCACTTAAAAGATACTCCAAAGTTGCCCACCAATTTGTCCCCGTGTCATACTTTAGTCTTTTAGATGGATGAATTTGGTGACTGTTGTGTATATTCTAGCAATGCTTAATTAATTACTTATATTAAAATAAATTAACTTCTAAGTTTTTTCATTTTTTTGTCAATTGCTTTTTTTTTTGATAAACTTTTGAATTCAATTACTAGCTTGTCTTTCTTTAGCCAAGTATATATGTTAAGATTTACGTTGTGAATCGTACAAAGACTCTTTTAACAAAACTAAAAAAAACTAAAAATAAAAAGTGATATTTTTTACGATAACTTCAAACCTTTTATTTCTTGCAAGTTTCTCATGAGTCATTACGGATCTACACTGCAGTATGAAAGAAACACAAATAACAAATAAATGTTTTTTATTGGCAATATAGACAACAGTGGAATAGTTAAAATGAGCCCCTCTCTCTTGTGTCTCTTGTTTCTCACATTCTCGTATATCTCTCTCTCTCACGTACTTCTTTCATCGACAAGTTGGCTGTACCAAACACACTGTAAGATTGGAAACTGGTTATACGGGATAAATTAAGATTCTCTAACATAATGTTAAGATATGTTCTTGTATTCCAATAATGTCTGTATAACTACCTAGACCAAACCTTGTTTCTTGCCAGATCCCAATCCAAACTTGGTTTATCACTGCCTTTCTTTTTGAAGTAGTCGAGGGGATGTCTTGACATGAGATTCTGTGTATCCTTTGACACGTGATTGTGGGTATCATGTGATTAGCCCTATTTTAGCCAGTGTACCATCTTTATCACATGGCATTCCTTTTAAAGACACACATCTTGTACAAATTGATCTATTTGATTTAATTAGACTGGATGCTATACTAAGTCATGTGGATGCTATAGCCCAATGACTACCTAGCTATGTAATTTAAAGGGACAAAGTTTGAATTCCCATTGAGCAATGTATGACCTAAGGCCTTCCCCATCCCCCTAAATGAATAATGTTTATTCCCCTCCCATATTTTAGAAAAATGTTGAGATTCCATTCCACCAATATTTTAGTTCTTATGGTCTTTAAATCATGATAGATTTGGAATAAGTGAAAGACAATGGGTGGAAGCACAAGTTGAGAATGCGAAGCAGCAGGCCATTTTAATGACGCTTAAATCACAAGTATCATCAGATGAAGCTCACATGCATTTTGACCACCATTTTCTTCGGTAATTTACCTCTAATTTTAGCTTTGATGTTGTTTGAATCTGTTAGTTGATCTCCAATTACTAATGTATATGTTAGGCGTAGGCCCAAGGCTCAGTAAATTAGGCCCAAATTATATAATTAGATGTCATGTATAATTAGAATAGAGAGAGAATGAGAAAGTCTCTCATTCAGTTTGTTATTGGCTTGTTTGGTTTGGGAGGGAGAGACTAGACTCTCTATTCCTAGTGGTTGTATTTAATTATATAGTTAATTGTGTATTCTGTAACTGCTGTTGCAGTTTGTAACTGCTACTGCAGGAAATTATTCCCAGTATAATTGCAATGAAGTATTGTATTCGTGTGTATTGTTCTCCCCTTATTTATCATTACTATTCAGAATCTTGAATATTAGCCACGATTCTCTTGGACTCTATGGGATGAATCTGAATGTATTTGAGATAATGATGATTTACATCGGATTAAATCTATTTATAGATCCTTCTTATGACCTGCTATAGCTGGTGAATTTTAGGACTGACTGACACTTCTCAGCCAGTTACAAGCTGTTACAGCTGGTGTAACTGTAATGCCTTTATGCTTCCCTGGTCTTAGATTTGTAACTTCTGTCCTCCTTTATGATGATTTTTTCGAGACACTGCCATGACCTTCTTCACTGTGTTTTAGAAATCATTATAGCTCCATTTGTGACCCCCTTATGTACAAGAACAAAAATGCATATGAATGACCAATTTACAAAAGCAACATTCTGTAAAAGAATTCTTTTATTTTTTAGACATTTTTTTATTTGTTGTCGAATCATATCAATATGATAGGTTCAGGATATTTTGAATTAAAATGTGAACTTTCAAATTGTTTTGACCGTAAATGCTTTTTATTTTTTAAATTATATTGACAGTTTGTTATATGTAATCATGCCATTTGGTGCAATGTTCAGGAGAAAGCATTCTGAGTTGAAAGCAGAACTTTCAAATCTTTATAATCATGAAGAAAAGCTTCTATCAGAGGTTTGTTACTACATGACTTCTGTTCAATGCTTGTGTACCTTTTCAAAGGCATTGCAGTCTCCATTTTCCAAAACTTTTAAGCTTAAATTTTTACTTTAATAGTATGTTATTTAGAAAGTCAGTCCTTGTTCTAACCCCATTGTTATGATTGACATAAATACTAGTCTACTGTGAAGTTTATTCTGTTGATGTCGATTCTCCTATTCAGATCCAAAACAGCGGCTGTTAAGAACCCAATGAAGGGAAGTGAGAAATTGATAGAAACAATTGAAGGAAAAAAACTATCCTATAGAATGGTGGGAATAGGAGAAAAGGTTCTCCATCAAGGGTTTTCCCTTTTAAAACCAAACTGCACTATTTTCCCACACAAATCACAACAATCCCTCTACCCTGCTTCCCCATGTTTATCATGTAACTGACTCCGCCCGCCTTACCAGCAAATTGCTCTGACTGTTTCTAATTAATTTTTGCTTCTCTTCTAGCTTGACAACTGCACCACAAGATGGGGGCATTACACCTTAGAACTGCTCCTTAGTATGTTAGCTTGACAACAAATGGCCCACGTTCTGTTTCATCTAAATATGATGAAAGGGAAACAAATACCTTGAATATAAGAAATGATAAAGTTATTCAAGAAATTAATGTTTCACCTCATCAATGAACCAAATGACTTAAAAGTTTGAGCTGTCGAGCAAGGAATAAAAAATGTGGCCTACCACATCGACTTAAATTTATTATGTAAGTCACAGCGTTTTTCATTGAAATCCATTATTGATCTTAATGTATGGAGATAATGGAATAATTGGAAATACATAATCAGATGGGGCAGAACTTGTTCATTGAAGATTAAGAAGATAGGACCGACAAATTATATCCAAGGGCCTATGGGTGCTAAAATATCCTACCATTTTATGATTATCTTTATTAAAACATTCTCTTTCATCTGAATACATTTCTCCCTTATTCAGACTATTCCAGAATTGTGCTGGGAACTAGCTCAACTCCAAGACACTTATATTTTACAAGGTATTTTCATGGCTGTAATATTTGGAAAAATTAAATTTATTTTCTTTTTTGTATTTCAACTCCAAGACACTTATATTTTACAAGGTATTTTCATGGCTGTAATATTTGGAAAAATTAAATTTATTTTCTTTTTTTGTATTTTAGACGACTCTTTGTACATGTTTAGAACTTCTCATACATTTTATCTTCTAGGTGATTATGATTTGAAGGTCATGCGCCAAGAGTACTATATTAACAGGCAGAAAGCGGTATGTTTAGCTACTTGGTTGTGTTTGTTTGTAAATGTTCTTGAACCTTGGGATATGTTAATTAGGTTCATGTATGCATGCTGCAACTTGAGATATTTCCTTGCCAAAACTTAAGAGTTACTTGACAATTAGCTACATTATTTTGATCGCATGAATGCATGAATTCTGAATGCACATAGTTCACATGGGAAATTAAGACCAGGCAGTACATTTCTTGCTCACATCCCCTATTTCTGCATTTCTGTAAGTCTGTTTCTGTAAAAGTCAGTTAGTGACCAGGATTTATTGTTTTTGAATTTTGAATTAGCTTAGACTAGATTATTTGAAATTAGTGTAGATTAGTTAGCATCTAAATTAAATACAAATATCATCTATGTTGTGTTTTATCTCTTATCCTTTGTAGTTGAATTTCAAATTAAAATCTCGGGGTTCTTAGATGAAACAAATTCCCAAACTAGAGGTACAATTAAGCCAATAATTTATATATGGATATTGAGGAGTTTTATTTTTCCAATTACCTTTGAACTATTCTCTGTTGCACAACTAACACCATCGTTTTAAATGATCCCTTTAAATTTTGTGCATGTAATTAACCTTCGGTAATGAACACTCCTTTCTCGTGGCAGTTCATAAACCATCTCATCAATCTGCTTGCCAGGCATCAATTGTTAAAGATAGCCTGTCAGTTGGAAAAGAAGCACATGCTTGGAGCATATTACTTGCTTAAGCTTATTGAGTCTGAGCTGCAAGCATACTTGTCCGCAACAGAGGGTCGGGTGGTATAGTTTCTTACTATTTCCATTGCACTTTTTCTTTAGTTCTATTGTTATTATTTTCTTTAGTTTTTTGTTGCTTCAGTTCAGTGTCTCATTCTAGTTCAGTTTCTGCACTCACCCCTTCCTTTCTAACCTATTTGACTATGTTTTTCACATTTGCTTCTGAAAAGAGTGGTGCTCTTTAAGAAGGCTTTATAAACAAAGATTTAATTGAAATTATGCACCCCTGTAATTTGCATTTTGCCTAATCCTTTGTAAGAGTGAAAGTATGTAGCAATGGGTTTATATCATTCATGGCTTGTTGGTTGCTCTTGAAAAATATTACTTCAGATAAAATAGTTAGAAGCTGGCTTATAATGCCATTGAAAAATATTTTTAGTTAATATAAAATGGTTGGAAGGTGGTTTATAATGCCATCATAAGTATAGTTTAGTAAATAACTCTACCTTTTTGGCTTTTGTCACTAATGCCCTTGAATATACCTCATAAAGATATCTTCTAACCTGGCATTCCTTGTATTTCTTTTTTGTCCCTAGTTTCAAAATCTTACAGTTTGCCTCTTAACTACTTTTATCTTTCAAACTTTATTTGATGGTTTGCAGGGTCGTTGTCTGGCTCTTATCCAAGCTGCAACTGATGGTCAAGAACAAGGGGGAGTACATGACAGTGATCATTTTTTGCATGCTATTAGAGACCTACTGAAAATTTATTCAAGTAGGGATTCATTTATCAAAGTATTATGATTTGTTCAAGTAATAATGGATCTCACAGACTTCTTATAAGCAGTCATGTCCATTTTCTTTTTTACTTTACCTTTTTCCCAGATACTCAAGCCGCACTGTCGACATACGTATCAGCACCAGGCATTGTCCAGCAAATATCAGCCCTTCATTCAGATTTAATGACACTTCAATCGGACCTTGATAATTCTCTTCCAGAAGAACGAAATAGGTGTATTAATGAACTGTACGTTTTTTGGTAAAAAATTATGAATTGTTTGTTATCATATCGTTTTTAGCTTACTTATTTATAAGCTATAATGGCCTCGTATAATTAAAGTGCTTCTTTATATGCCAAAAGTTATTATTTCTATTGTAGTCAGATGGTTATAATTGTTGACATGAGTGTAAATATTGTTTTGTACGTACATTCGTATTTGATGTTGTTGCATGTTTTAAGTGACATAGGTTTCGCTATTTTTTTCCATAATGGCCAATTTTTGAGTGACATTTTCTTTGTGGATTTTTCAATACAGGTGCAACCTTATTCAAAGTATGCAACAACTGCTCTTTGCATCTTCTACAACTGCACAGCCAATACTGACCCCTCGGGTATGAATTTCATTTCGTCTATGGCTTTGTGCTATCGCTATTACAACTGTTTTTCCTTTTTTCTTCTATGGTTTTCGCTGTGTTACTGTTAGTTGATTGACCCCTTAGTAGTTAGTACTGAGACCACTTCTACAAGGTTGGGAAGTAGATAATCAAATTTGATAAACTGGCTGATTCACCTGCAGCAGCATAGTGGAATGCTTGTGTAGTTGTGACAAATTTGGAGATAGGAGTGAATTCAGTTTAAGATTAGTGAGCTATATATGGAAATAAGGGAGAGTGGGAATTTGGTAAGACATTGTCAGAATCTTTGGGCAGAGAGAGGCAGTCCCCCCCAGTAAAGAGCAATACTCTGTTGTGCCCTTTGATACTAAAATAGTACCTATCAGTTTTTTTTCCTCATGTTTACTCAAGGGTAAGAATGGTATTATTCAGTACTATACGAATGTAACTTGTAACCTTTTCTTCTCTGTAGACTTAAAATTATTTACCCATTTGACAAATAAATTATTTTTGCACCTTTTTTCTGTGTTGTGATTTTCCATTTTGTCTTGTTCTATATGTCTTAATTAGCCATTGATGAAAGAGCTCGATGAGATGGAAAAGGTTAACGCAGAGCTCTCTGTTGCTGTGGAAGAGGTGACACTAGAGCATGTCAAGAAAAATGAGGTAATGTGGCTTTAATGTTTAGTTCCATCTGATTTGTTCTACACAATTGCACATCCCGAAGCCTTTTTGAAGACATCCAGGTTTTTCATTAAAAATGGTGTATGGTGGAAAGCCAAAAAAAAACGGCCATAACAATATGGCAGATGGCCTTATCGATTATAGTGAAAGCATGTCAACTATAATGCGAAACAAATATGAAGTATAATGACAAAATACTTTGCCATGCGTCGCTATTCCACACGTCTCTTCTGTGGCTGCTTTCTATTAACACTGCTTCCCTCATTTGTGGGTTTGATAATCTGAGCCTTTCATCGTGCCGTCTAACAAATATTTCCCGGTGTTGACAATTTCTTGGAAATACTCTTGTTCACTTGGCTGCTTCTAACTGATCTGGTTATTGTGAATTAATAAATGATTTTTTTAAGGAATATTATGATTGACTCCACATAATTACAAAGATTCAGAACATTTTCTGTTATGCTGACTGAAGCTTGATTTTCATTGTCATCCAGATTGTAAAACACCATTCGCAAGAAATAGGACTTCAACGGCGCGTCTTTGTAGACTTCTTTGGCAATCCAGAACGGCTCAGAAGCCAAGTTAGAGAACTGACTGCCAGGGTCAGAGCCTTGCAAATTTCCTAGTAATCATAAGTAGTTTCTTTATTTTCCATCCTCAGTTACCTTCTTTAACGTTGCTTTTTTTCTCATTTATCCTGTACATTATATCCATCTCCAAGTGTGGATTGCACCATTCTACATGTGTTTTAAGATTCAACTATGTATTCACTGACTTGTTTATATTGTAATAGAAAAGTTATACAACAACAACCTTCTTCACATCTTTCTTCACGATTGGTGCCAGTTAGCATCTCAACTTAGAACTCTTTTCGTAAGATTGAAAAAGAACAAGGAACTCTTCCTTGTGGAGTTAACTGATGTGGGATATTTAACTCCTGCAATTGAGAAAGTGAGTGTAGCTTTTGAGCAAATAGTGGTGATCACGTTATCATTACACAGTTTTCTGTTGTTTGCAGAGTGTTCATGTTTGTTTGGTTTAAATGATCTAAACTGACATAGTTAATATATTGATATTTTCTTATAACATGATTTCTGATCGTACCTGACTAGGAGATTGTCAAAGCCTTCAAGCTTTAAGTGAGTATGAGAGTGAGTGAATCAATACCTGACCCTCTCAAGTGAGAGTATTTATAGCCTCCAGCGCTGCGCTAAGGTCTTCAATGTTGGGCTACGATGAGGCTTAACAACGAAGACTGCCAGGACTTACGTGCGCATGGAGTCCACCACGTGACCTCCTTCCTGATCAACTGTTTCGAGAGAACAGGTGATGGACCCGTGATTCTTGGAGGGCAGTTATGATGACGATATGGACACATGGATAACGTCTCCCTAGCGGACACGTGGGGGAATGTCCAACGGTCTCCAGCTTGGGCTGCATGCCTTTGGGCCTTGGGCAAAGGCGCTGGATTGGGCCCCTCTAATGGTGGGGCAAGTGTTGACCCAGTCCAGAACAGGAGCCCCAAGTTATGGCCCTTAGGTGAAAGGGTGATGAGTTAAGTTCAACTTCACTGTCGGGGAGCACGCGCTCGAGAAGGGAAATCGTAACTCTCCACCGGGGATAATTTGTTTACCCGTGTCGGGGATAGCTGGTTGACCCGTGTCGGGGATCCCGAAAGCACACGAACTACGCGGTCTACTAGATCATTTGTCCGTTTGGTGCCCGTCACAAATACGTAGGATGCTAAGAGTTTCCCCAAGTTTTATTTTTCGACGTGCCCGTTCACCGGGTGTCACTACGATGTCGAGCGTTACCTCGCCCATGCGAGTGAAACGTGATAAACGTGCCTGCATGTAAGGTTTAGTCGCGAGGCCGCATATTTGTCTATTATTGAGCGTGCAACGTCCTCAACTTGCTTGGGGACAATGTTTCGTAATGAAGTTGGGGATAAGTTCACTTTCAAGAGTGGGCACATGGCTGCTTGTTAACGCCACATGGTAGCTGTTTTGGGGCGTTATCTTTCTTTAGGGGAGTTCAAAAAGCCCAATATGATGATGACCTTTTGTGTGCAGCCTCGTGGGGTGTGAACCATCTATTAAAAGGGAACCCTAGGGATTCATTTGTTAGCTTCAAGCTTTCTTCTGCACTCTTATCTCCATTCGCGCGTGGATTCGCTCCTCCTAGCTTCTCTGTAGATTCTTCAAAGACATTCTTTATCCAAGTCATATCCCCTTGATAACACATTTCTTTAAAATCTTTTAGATCAAACACCTAGTTTTTATCTTGAGTGGGTGAATCTCGGATGAACATTCATGGGTTCTGCAACGAACATTCATGAATGTTCATTGAAGTTCATGGTAGTGGATGAAGTTCATAGCGTCGGGGACATCTTCCCCAGATAGTAGGGTGGATTCAGGCATATATGCCCGTTTGACTAAACGTCCCCGAATAGGACGTGGTTTGTCTTAGTGTGGCAGTCGAGGTCCGTTCCTCGACAGATTCGTCACCCTTTCACTTGATTCGCGGTGGAAGGGTGAATTTGATGATGTCGAATTCATTATTTTCTCCTGCTTTTCAGGTATTAATGGCACATCCAGTCGAGGAGGACGCCGCGCCCGCCAATCGTGAAGACCAAACTAATGTCAAGGAGTACCCTTTAGCATGGGTTGCGCCCGAACCTAGAAATAAAAGGTCGTGTTTCTCGCACAATGCGTTAGACGCGTTCAACTGTCTGGAGGTTCGAGCAGAGGGGACCCCCGTCAATTGGGTTTTACAAATCCCTTATCGAGACAGGAGGATATGCTCGTCGTATTCGGGCAAGCGCTTCCCTATGTATGAATTTGCTTTCAAGGAGGCGGGGATGTATTTTCCTTTTAATGACTTCCAAGTGGGGTTTTTCCAATGGTTATAATTGGCACTCTCTCAGCTTCACCCGAATGCGCTTGCGTTCATGCGGGCATTCGAGCTCATCTGTCAGTATCGTCAAATAGGCGCCCCACCGCCTCTATTTTTCCGCATCTTCCACTTGCAAAGGTAGTCCATCGGAGGGGACCTGGGTGTCTTTTAAACAGTTTAGGAAACTTTTCCAGCCATATCTGAAATCTGTTCGCCATTTCAAAGAGAGGTGTACTTTGTCGTGAAGCCTTTCACGGACGCGACCATAACTTCCTTGTACGATCGCTCGGAAGAGATGGAGGAAGGTCGACCAGTAGTCTGGCTGGTGGCCAGATTTCTGCTTGAATGTCCGAGTACTATTCGGTGAAACCTGGGGACTTAGATGCCCAGGATCAGCTCTCCAATGAGAAGCTGGCGTCTTATGTTAAGAGTTTCTCACCGGTGAGGTGCGTAGACGTGAACAACAACCTCCTCTTTGATGATAAAGGGGGAGTATCTCCTCGTTAATAGGTTGATCAATACGAAAGCTTTGCTCGACTGTTCTTCAGACGAGGAGGCTTTGAGGCTTTTAGGTAGGGTATAAGGCCGTGACCATATCTATATGTCTGGCTTTTATGCAGGGGACATGCCTGTGATCATCTTTGTTTGGCTTGTGACTGACAGTTTTCCTTTGATTGCAGGTCATATGGCTTTCCTTTGAGCTTCTACTGAAGTTGAGGCCCAAGAACGCTTCCACCTTAGGGCTCAGGAATAGGGTCGCTCAACTTCAGGAGCAGGCCAAATCTTTCGTCCGAGTGAGTGGTTCCCCTTCTTCCTTGAAGATCCAAGTTCCTCCTCCCGAGCCACCGGTGAAGAGGAAGCGCGTGGAGGATTTCAAGCGGGTTGCGCCCGAAAGTGATAAGGGGGTCGAGGGAGTTTTCATGTTGCCTCCCTGTTATCTCAACCGTGATATTTTTAGCGGGGAGAGCTCTCTAGGTCTCCACGAGGAAGAAAGGGAAGCGATCTTGTCCGAAGACAAGGAAACTCGAAGGCAAAACTTGTCGGAGGACGTGGCCGCCGTGATGAGGGTGCTCGAAACGGCTTTGACGCTGAATGATGAGGCCGCGAGGTCTCAGGTTGCCCTTGACAAAGCGTACGCCCAAATTCAGAAGCTACAAGGGATCAATGAAAAGCTGAAGGGCGACATCCTCAACTATGAAACGAGATACAAAATCAACTCCTTAAAGATCTGAATGAGCTACAGCCTCACTTGGATGTCGCGAATAAAGAGAACGAGCGACGCTAGAGTAAAAGAGCTAGAGGGGATCGTGGCGCCTGCTGACGACGAGATTGACGCGGAGAAGGCCCTCATGACCAGGAGGGATCTAATCGTGCAGGGTCTTGTGCTCGAGCAAAACGTCGTAGACACCCTTGGTTATGGTTTCAATACAGCCGCAAGTAGCTCAAGATACTGAACTTGAGGGTCGAGTTAGTTGTTGAAGGCGCGGGGCCATTTAATCAAGTGGTCGATGGCAAGATTTTTTATCCCCCTGACGATAGTTCAGTGGCGAAGAGCGAGGAGGATGAGGTTTGATTTGTTTCCTGGACTGCGTGCCCGTTTTTGTTTTGTTTTGAATTTGTGGCTTGCGTACCTATAAATTTTATAATTATTTAAACAACGTCGGCCTTCGTGGTCGACATTTATAAATGCTTTTATTTTACCTTTATGCCCTTGTTAATGTTTGTTAAATACTTGCTTGTCGTTGTGCTTGACTTGTTTATTTCATGAAAGTTGGTGTTCCTATGACTGAAGATTTTTCCTCGACCATGGTCTTGGTCGACACATGTTGTGATGTGTCGAGGAGGCGGTTTAGGAATCTGCGGGACGAACTCAAGATTGCGGTCAGAATCTTGACTTCGTGGCGTGAACTGCCCATCGTAAGCTGGGTGTTCTGCCAATTGGGTATTTCGACAACAGAGCTCGATCGAAGTGTCCTTGTCTGGCTAAGGTTCTGCTCGAGAAATAAATAAAACCCGCCTTTCGTTGATGTTTGGAGGCTATGCCTGTACCTCGACTGCCTCCGCGGTCGAGCGTTGTCCCGTCATCTGTTAGAGAGGACCAGTCGACTGCTATGCCCGTCGCTTTGACAAGAACTTAACTGTAATACTATTTCAATTTTGTAGCGTTCTATGGTCGAGGTAGCGATTCTTCATTTAAGTGCTCGAGGTAGTATACCCCGGTGCCTGTAGCCCTGTAGACGCGGTACGGTCCTTCCCAGTTCGCGGCCAGCTTCCTCTCACGAGAGTCTTTCTGATTCCTCTGCAAGATTAAGATGCCGGTCTGGAACTCGCGTTTTATGACTTTGTTGTCATGGCGAAGGGCTACCTGCTATTTCAACGTGGCTTCGCGAAGAGCTGTCCCTGATCTGATTTCCTCAACTAGGTCGAGCTCTTCTCTTAGGGCCTCGTCATTTAATTCCCCGTCGAGAGGGATTTAAGTTTGCCTGGATGGCTCCATGATCTCCACGGGGATGACTGCCTCGGTGTCATAGGTTAGCCGAAATGGGGTCTCACTGATCGTCGAGTGTGGTGTTGTTCGGTATGCCTATAGGACGCTATGTAGCTCTTCAACCCACCCCCTTTTGGCTTCTTGCATCCTACGTTTGAGTCCTCGTAAGATGACTCTGTTCGCAGCCTCTGCCTTCCCGTTTGTTTGAGGGTGTTCGACTGAAGTGAAATGCTGTTTGGTGCC